AAAAAAAAAAAAAAAAAAAAGCAGTGAAAAAGGAAAAAGGACATGTAAGAATGAATTTATTACCTGGAGATACTTCCTCTTTTTGTCTGACAGTATGGTCTTTTGTAAACTTCACCCTCTGATGAGCTCTAATGCATGTCTTACAAAGCCATTCAACACACTCTACACAAAACCCATTAGCTTCTGCATTGTCTTCACAGCTTGTGCATACCTAAATAATTTAAAAAAGAAAATCACGTTAGGTAAACTTTTGATAAAAATGAAAAGCTTGTCACATCATTGGTCAATAGTGTTTGTAAATTTAAACTGACACGATGTGCTAAACTATATGCATATAAATGAAAACAAATATTAGGTACATTTTCTCCTTAGTTCAATATACTAATTATTCCAGGTACTGTGCTAGGTGTTGATGCTATAATAATCAGGAAGAGCAAACAGTTCTTGCCCTTATGACACCTACAGTTTCACAGATGGAGAACACAGGTTCAAATCCGTTTCCCTGACTCAGTAGGTCTTAAGCAGGTTTGTCACCTTTAAAATGTGAATAGCAGAGTCGGAGATTTAGCTCAGTGGCACTGCACCTGCCTCACAAGCGCAAGGTCCTGAGTTCAATCCCTGCTGCCGTAAAAAAGCCCAAAGAACAAACAAATAATAACAGCACAGATTTTTACAAGTATGAAACTACTGAGAAAGGAGATATCTGAGAAGTCGTAAAAGCATACACATGATGGAGAAACTGTTCTCACTGTAGTAGGGTTGGAAGGCAGGGAAAACAACAGGAGAGACTACCCAGGGAAAGCAATTCCTAAAAACATCCTCTTAGCAACCAAGATATGAAAGCTTAGTCAACAAACTACAAGATGAAAAGCCTTCTAGGCAGAATGAAAAGCTGCAAACAAGGAAAAACAATGAAGAGTTAAAGAACTAAAAGGAGGGAGCCAGGTATGGTAGTGCATGCCTGTGATTCCAGCACTCTGAGACGCTGAGGCAGAAGGACTGCTGTGAGTTCAAGAATGGTCTGGGCTACACAGTGAGACCCTCTCTCAAGAAATCAAAGAACTGAAAGGAAGCAAGTATGACTGAAGTGCTAAGATCAAGGAGGAGTCTATCAGGGGGAGGAGCCAGTGGCAAGGCAAGCAGGGGCCACGTTGAGCAGGGTCATAGACAGTGGTGATTTTTGTTTGTAGAAGTCTATTGAAAGCTTTTAAGAAAGAAAGTAGCATGGCCAGATTTGCATTTTAAAATGTTTGTTACAGTGTGGAGAGCAAGACAAACTAGGTTTTCCAGTAGCTTCAGTGAGGGTTGATGGAAGTGCAGATGAGAAGAGAATGAGTTTGGGGAGATAAACAAAGCTTGTTCAGATGATGTACTGGGTATGGGCAGTAAGAGATAAAACTTATATTTCAATCTGCAGCTACTACATAGAGGTGGGCTATTAGTTACTACCCATAAGAAATATTTGCTATCCTCTGGATTGTTTTTTTGTTTTGTTTTTTGTATTATTTTTGAGACAGGATCTCACTTTGTAGCAGCGCAGGCTGGCCTCAAACTTACGGCAATCCTCCTGCCTCAGTCTCCTGAGTGTTGGGATTCCAGACATGCATCAGCACATCTGGCTAATTTCTGCTACCTTATTTGTGGATGGGAAGAAAAAAAAATTCTATTAATTCAGAGATTGCCAAATTCCAGCTACTTGGATAACAAATCTATTCACAAAACCCACCATTTCTCAGATTTAATTATCTTCAACCTTTCTAATATTGTTTGATATTGCTGATGTCTGCTTCCTAGAAATCATGTAGATTGTTCATTAATCTCAGTCCTCACATCCCTGAATGTCCTTTTGAATCCCATCTATTACTGCCCTTCGTCTGATTCTAGAGATTTTTGTTGAATTGGGGAACTGACCTCATTTATTTCCTTAATGCCAACTATCCCCCATATAAGGATGTCACCTAAAATCTAATCTCCATAACAGGCTACAAAAGGAATAAAGAATGTCCATGTATCACTGCTCAGGGGATTTCTCTAGTAATAAAGCAAATTAGAAAATGCAAAGCAGGAAGTGTATGTAAATACTACTGCGTATTTAAGGAAGATGGGATGAAGTAGGATGATTTAAAATTATACAGAACATTAACAATAGAGGAATAAACTATAAAAGCAGTTTTTCTATAAAGTGGGGAGGAAATAAGGCAGATGGGTAGATAAGTCAGGGATAGAAGTTCTATGAATATGCCCAATTTCATAGATTTTATTTTAGGAGTACATGAATGCTTTACATGTAGCTGTACAAATATAAATTTCAAAAATTAAAATTCTAGGCTGAGGATATAGCTCAGTCTTACATTCATCTTAAGAGAACTGATACATATACATGTTCCATCTTAATCATTTTTTACTTCCATCATGCTCCTCTGTATCTGCTTTTCCATCTTCACAAAGTCTACCTTTCCATTTCCTAACATCCCCTTTTTATTTGGCTCTTTAAATTATTTATATTTTGAGTTTCTCATGTAAGAGAAACAGCCTAGCTAGCATATGTTGAGGCCCTGGGTACAGGTTCCCAATACCAACAAACAAAAATTTTAAAATTCCTAAATGTGAAAAAGGTGGGGGTGGGGTGGGGTTTATAATGGTTTAACCACACACAGACACAAAACAATTGTTATAAGGAGTTTTAAAACATCATACTTTTACTGAATACTTCCAGTATATACATGGAGCAACTGCAATCTTTCTTGCTTTCTATTTTCTCAGGAACACTCTACAATTTCCTCTCAGCTCCAGCTGCACTTTTCCATACCCTCTCATTCTGTAAGCCATATTTATGCTTTACAAGCTGGTTTCACTTTAGCTCCTAACAATGAGTGGTGCTAGAAGGAAACTACAATGCCACAGGAAGTGGAAAGCTGATCCCTGTAGCCAGCTTTACGCTTATGATTTCTGTGTGTACATCTTCAGCCAATGCTGCCACATGTCCCCCACAGAGCAGTTCCTTCCTATAGCAAGCTAGCTCTGGTTTGCAATGTTTCCAGTATTTGTATAACCAGCTTTATTACACTCCACTTCCCACCAGCACACCAAGGTGTCAGAGGCCTGGGCCCCAAGCTAAACACTCAGACTCTCATACCAGCCAAGCTGCACATCCTCCTCATATTTGAGGTGAAATTCCACAAAGACTTTCCTTTAAGTGTGCAACATTTAGGCCTCCCACAGTTGGTACCTCTGTAACACTTTTAAGAATTTTCTCCTAAGTCAAATAAATCAAGACACCAAAGGTTAAATATTATATGGCTTCTCTTATTTGAAACACTCAAAATATAAACAACTTAAAGAGCCAAATAAAAGAGAGATGATAGGAAAAAGGGAGGTGGACTTGTGAGGAGATGGGAATGGTGTACGAGAGACATGAGGGCAAGAAGTAAAATGATTGCTATGACAAGTACAAGTATCAATTCCCCAAGATCAATGTAATTATTATGTATCATAAACATGTACTAATAAAAAAGTTTCATCTTTTCAGAAAACAACTTTATATCTAGTTAACAAATTTTAAATTAAAATTGTACCTTATGGCATCAAGACTAACATCATATAGGGCCGGGGATTTAGCTCAGAGGTTCTGATGCCCACCTTGAAAGCACAAGGTCCTGAGTTTGATCCCCAGTACCAAGAAAAAAAAAAAAAAAAAAAAAAAAAAAAAAAAAAAAAAAAAAAAAGAGGCTAACATCATATAACCTACAATAAATAATAGATACTGATTTGTCCTGGAGAATATCATTGGCCATGCAATTAAGAACAAAGATTTCCAGTATAGAAGAGATCCAAATGTAAGTCAAGAAAGTAAAACCCCTAATTCTAAATTTGACTGAGGAGTGGGCCAGATGTAGCTCAGTAGCACCATGCTTGCCTGGCAAGCACAAGTCCTGAGTTTGATCCCTGACAATGTGCACGTGCATGGGTGCGCATGCACGCACACGCGCGCGCACACACACACACACACAAACTCTTGTGGCAGGGGATGATGGCACATGCCTCTAATCCCAACACTCAGGAGGCTGAGGCAGGAGGATCACCAGGAGTTCAAGGTCAGCCTGAACAATGAAGTGAGACACTGTCTCAAAAAAACAAAAACAAACCAAAAAAACTGAGGAAAGAAGCCAACCCAATGGTAATAAGAACATAGTACATATGTGGTGGTCTCCAAAACCAATTTGAAGCCAGGCATAGTGGCATACACCTGTAATCCCAGCACTCGGGGGGCTGAGGCAGGAGGACCACTGTGAGTTCAAGGCCTATCTGGACTACATAGTGAGACTGTCTCAAACCCACCAACCAACCAACCAACCAACCAAAAATCCAAATAAATAAAACCAACTGGGAGGGGGTGTGTGTGTGCCAGGACTGAATCCAGGGCCTTGTGCATGCTGAACATATATACCATACTATACCCCAAACAGTTTCCATTCTTCAAAGCTGATGTCATAACAATGAGAATGTTTATCCTCTGCAGTTAAATCTGTTTTGGCTTTTGATGAAAGTACACATTAGGGAAAGTTATGAGTACCAGTGAAACAACACAAAGAATTTTAATTAGTAATGACAGTGTTAATTTATAAAGTGAACCCTAAATTCCTGTAGTTCAAGAAACAAAAAGCACAGAAATTTGCTTTGTAACTAGTCATGGTGACATATGACTGCAATCCCAGTACTGAGGAGGCTGAGGCAGAAAGATCACCATGAATTCAAGGCCAAACTAGGCTAAACAGTGAGTTCAAGGCTAGACTGAACTACACACATAGCAAGACCTTGTGTCTAAAATAAAACAAACAAAAAAAAAACCATGTATACTTCAAAACTTTCTAATATATATAGCCAATGATCATTTTTCCCTAATCAGATGTAGTTCCTTCTTTTGTCTTGTTTTAAGTGAAAGAAACTGCCTAGATCACAGTGGTGGTGAACCTTTTAGAGCTTTCAATGATAATTGCCCAGAAGCCATAGGTTCACCACCAGTGGGCTACAGGTATCATCAATGAATCAAAACTCACAAGGAGACTAATATACTGCAGTCAGCACATGCTGTAACATAATTCTCAGCCTGGCTAACCCCTGTTAGAGTGCCACAGCTTATCTTTATGGATCTGACATCTCAATTTAAGAGACCAATAAAAATGTTTTAGGGCCAGGGATTTAGCTCAGTAGTGCCACTACCTGCCTAGCAAGCCCAAGATCCTGAGTTCAATCCCCAATACCAAAAAACCAAAATGAAACAAAAACAACTTCTATATGTGAGTTATAGAAGTAGGAAAGAAAAGCAAGATTCCATTGGATCTCTAAATCCAACACTTTAGGTAGGTGGCACATGCCTATAATTCCAACATAAGGGAGGCTGAGGCAAGAGGATAGCCACCAGTTGGGAGGGCAGCCTGGATTACACAGTGAGTTTGAAGCCAGCTGGAACTATACAGTGAGACCCTATCTCAAAAAACAAAACATCAGGCTGGGGATTTAGCTCAGTGGTTCTGTCACCTGCCTTGCAAGCACAAGGACACGAGTTCGACCTCCGGCACCAAAACAAAATATCAACAAAAATAATACCATGTAGAAAAGGAAGGCTTAAAAATATAGAAACCTAGCTGAGGATGTTGGTGCACGCCTGTAATCCCAGCACCTAGGAGGTTGATGCAAGAGGGTCACTGGGAGTTTGAGGCCAGCCAGAATTACATAGTGAGACTTTGTCTCAGAAAAACCAAACCAAAACAAACCAAAACAAATGAGTAGAGACCTTACTGATTACACTATAATGGGTTTCACATTTATTATTAAATAATTTATCATCAAAAAACAAAAATGAGGGCCGGGGATTTAGCTCAGCGGTTTGGTGGCCTGCCTTGCAAGCGCAAGGACCCGAGTTCAATCCCCAGTACCAAAACAAAAAACAAAAAACAAACAAAACAAAAAGCAAACAAAAACACAAAAATGAAAAAGGAGTGAAAATAAAAATCTAAATGACAGTGCACAGCAACAAAGTAAAAGAAATGGAATAATGTCTTCCTTTGGAGGGCAAGGGGAAAGCAGGGCTCCAATGAGAAACTTCTGTCCTGACACTTTTATTTTTGAAGCAGTTCAGCTTCTTTAGGTTGCCTCATTGATAAGCGGGAAGGAAAGGCTCAGGAAGTATATATACACTTACCTGATTGGACTTTTCCACTGTACTGCTGGGAACCTCAGTAGTGTCCTTCACAAAAAAATTATCTATGATGTGTCTCTCGGCACATTCTTGGCTGCAAATTGGGCATCGAATGACTCCAACTGGGAAAGACAAAGTGACATTCTATATTGAGTACTGAACCAAACCACGTCATCTCAACTCTTGAGCCCTTTCTTAGCATCCACTCTTTATAATGCATTCAAAATCCAGAAGCAACTCAGGTATACATTTGATGCTACTTCTACATCACAGTTTGCATAGCCCCTCATACTTCTATTTATTTATTTATTTTTTGGTACCGGGGATTGAACTCAGGTCCTTGCGCTTGCAAGGCAGACCACCAAATCGCTGAGCTAAATCCCTGGCCCAGCACCTCATAATTTTAAATGACATGCCCACTCACCAAATAAACATTCCCCCATGGCTACTCTTTCACTACTCAGGAACTTCTCTTGCAGTGCTTCTTAAACAGGAATATAAAGAACCACACAAATAGTTTAAAAGAACAAGAAACTACTTGTCTGTAAGCCTACAAAATCAGGATTTCTGGAAGCAGAGCACAAACATTGTGGGTATAAAAATCTCCACAGGATATTACAGAACACTATTCTGTGTTTTCCTTTAACAAATAAAAAATGGTGTTTCTTTGAAAACAAAGCAAGAAACAATTCTCTTCCATAGTGCTTGGTAAGAGTCATAATTATAAATAAATTAAAGATTGAATACAACATGAAGACATAGTAGGTTTTTCAGATACATTTTAAAAATGAAACAGGCTGAGCCAGGCGTGGTGGCAAACGCGTGTAATCCTAGCACTTGGGAGGCTGGGGCAGGAAGATTGCCCTGAGTTCGAGACCGGCCTGGGCTACATAGTGAGTTCCAGGTCAGTCTCAACTCAACTACATAGTCAGACCCTGTCTCAAAAAAACAAAAACAAAAACAAAAACAAACAAAAAAACACCCCAAAAGAAAAACAGGCTGGGGATTTAGCTCAGAGGCTTTACTGCCTGCCTTGAAAGAGCAAAAATCCTGCTCCCAACCCTGCCGCCATCGCTCAAGCGCTGGGAGGAAGCCTGGGCCCCGATCCACCGCGGGAAGGAGAACCACGCCAGCTCCCGATCCAACCGCCATCACTCAAACGCCGGATAGCAGCGCGGGTGCCCCTGAACACCCATAAGCCTCCCTGCCCCCCCCGCACTCTCAGACCTCCTGACTGTGCAAGTCTTTGGACCCACTCTGCAAAGACAGAGGTGGTCATCAAGGGTATTTTTCTGAGTTCCCAACTCTGAACATCTTTAAAGAAAGGGCGAGGGAAACCTGCAATAGAAGGTTGCGGAGTTCAACCGTTTGGAAGGATGGGGAACTCAATCTGGGCCTTGCAGCCCGAGGTCAGTCAGCTTCATGGGGTTCAGCCATCAGCTAACTGAGATCAGGGGTCTTGCATCCTCACTCTGTCTGAGCCATTAAATGGCAAATACACTATATTAAAATTTTGTTCACTGCAGACATGTTCTGGACTGCTTCTTGATTTCAATTTAATTCAAATGATTTAAAGGTGATAGACTAGTGACTACCACAGGTAGTCAGTGTCCAAGTGGTGCTTGATCTTAATGTGTTGCTGATTGTATCAGTTGGGGTAAAGCATTGCTGTTGTTTGATGAGCTGTTTTCTCTGATGTTATAAAGATGAGAATGTCTGTGGGTCATTAGAGACACAGAAGCTAGGGTGCAACTGTATCAGGAAGACTTGGGTGATGATCCAGATATTAAACCAAGGACAGTCTGACAACAAAAATTAAAATGAGAAAACACTTAAGCAAGACACAAGGACAGACTTCCAGTTCACCAATGGCAAACAGTAGGGCAAATGAGGATGAAAAGGCCGATAGTGAACCACCAGGACACCCTGAACTCAAAGCACAGGAAGTAACAAAACAGATCAATCAGGCTCTAGAAAAATTCAAAACAGAAATAATTTCCCAGATA